CCATTGTGGTGCTAGAAGATAACGAACGCTCTGCTTTAAATCTGATGCGTACTTGCCTATGACGGCATAGCAGATATGTTCCAATGATGGCACAGTATGCGCCATGTGCACATGTTATATGCCATCAAAGGAAAATGAATAATAATTGCAAAAATTTCAAAAACTCATCTTTTTACTTATATTAAGGTAAAAGTAGATAAACAATAACATTTTGTATGGTACTTTTAAACAAATTTGGAGCTTTCAAATCGCACAAAATCTTCAATAAGTAAATTTAAGTGTATATCTGAAATATCCTTAAAGGTTTAGTACAATCCTTAAAAATTGGATTGTCGTTATCTAGTTATACCTTAAACAGTCAAATATCTCCTGATATCAGATATAAGGGCTTTGTTTTGTTGCAGGGCCTTTGTTAATATGGCTTCTACCAGGAAACATAGGCAGGAGTGGTTGGAAGAGAACATGAATATGGCAATTCAGCACATCCAAAGAAGATGAGATGGCTGTTGGCTTCCAAAACTTTTAATGTTCTGGTTACGACACTCCGTAGACGTTTTGCAAACAACTTCAGTGGAATAAAAGGAGATTTGTGTGGAGGAAGAACTACACTACCTTCTCATCTTGAGAAACAGTTAGCTACTCATGTGATTGATATGGAAACAAGATTTTTTTGGTCTTACAACGCTAAATTTGAGACGACTAGTTTTTGAACTTGCTGAGAGAAATAATATCAAACACAAATTCGACAACACGACTCGTCTTGCTGGATGGAAGTAGGTGAGGAGTTTTTTAAAAAGAAATAGTACCATTTCACTCAAAAAAACAGAAAATACATCTCTTGCGCGAGCACAACCATTTAATAAGAAAAATATGTAACAATGAGTCCAAGCCATCACCGTTAAACCAGCGTGTGCGCGAACCAACCCATGAAGTAGGAGTGTATCGACAGTAGAAAGGGCAAAACTAATTACCAAGCTCCGCTATATAAACCGCAACATTTCCTTATAGAGGCAGAATCGACAGGTGTTGACTGAAGGTTCTCTTCTTCCCTACCCCGGCTTGTGGACGTGTTGAGTTCACAAGTTGTTCCGTTCCATTCCGCCGTTACCCGAAGAGCGTGTTGACCTCTTCATTACCCGTACTCTGAAGCAGTCGTGTTGAGACTGTCGAGGAGTGTCCTATTAACCCGAATCACTTAAGGGACGTGTTGAATTCCTTTCCTTTCTTTGTACCTATCGTCCGCTGTTATTAAATCGATACAACGTTCACGTAAAATTTCAAATACACACTCGTTTGCCGATAAGACTAACTTCATATGACAAGGTCAAACTTAATTTGAATAAATCGGCCAGGTACTGAGAAGACTAAACCAAATTGCAAATATGTACCTACATAAGATTTTTGTCAATTTAATTTAAGGAAGACAATAAAGTTTTATTTTTATTTTGAACTCTGTCTCTGCCTGTACAAAAGCTACCCGGATAGTGACTCCTACGAGAGGACGTCACAAATATTAAAGCATATTTTATCTCTTTAGCAAAAGTTTTAGATACATACAATTTTCAATCCGAAACTATATTCAACGTTGATAAATCAGGTCTTAGTACTGTTCAAACAAGGCCTTAAACAGTGCTTGCAACCAAGGGCTGGAAACAAGTTAGAGCACTGAGCAGTGCGGAACGAGGTCAACATTTAACAGTTGTATGTTCAATGAATGCGATTGGTACTTTTGAACCACCAAACTTTTGAATTAATGGACGCTGTCCCACCGGGAAATGTTGTTTTTTCCAGTAGAAAGGGTGGATGTCTTCAGACATTTTTGTTCAATGGCTTAAACATTTTATTCACTATACCAAAGCTTCGAATGAGAACAAAATATTATTGTTAGATGGCCACAGTAGTCATAAGGGACTGGAAGTCTTACAAGTTGCAAAAGAGAATGGTATTGTACTTTTCTGCTTTTCACCACACTGTTCCCACCGGGTGTAGCCACTCGACGTGGGCTTTTTTAGTCCTCTATAAACCTATTATAACCAATAGATTCAAAATTGGTTAAAACAAAATCCTAGAAGACTCGTTACTTTCAAGTTGCTGGGTTGATTAAAACAACTTACCTTAAAAGTGCTACTCCTGCTAATGCCATAAATGCCTTTGCCAAAACAGGGATTCAACCTTTTAACCCTGATATTTTTGAGGAATGGATGTTCGTTCCATCATTGGTTACAGATAAACCTATAGAGAGCAATCAAGATCGAACTCAAAACATCCATCTAACAATCCAGATTATAATCTAGAATAAAACTTAGAAAGTAGACAAAATCACCCACCTAAAGACTGCCAACGGGTCCTTCTAGAAAATACTCAACAGGATACTCTTCACATAACAATCCAAGATTTATCACAACATTCCAAGTGTTTAGCAGTCAAACACAAAAAAAACAAAAGAAGCGTGGAATAACAGGGGTAATAAATTCAACCCCTGAAATTCAAGAATTGAAAGATAAGGTTGTTAAAAAAGAAAATGTAGAACGAAGAAAACTGGCAAAGTTAAACGACAAATAAAACAGAAGATAGAACCTAAAGGAAAAGCTACGTACAGCAGTGGATTAGTACGGAAATCTGTGGATGACACTTTTCCTGAAAAACGAACATTATACCGAATGACAAAAGGAGGGATAGAGAGAAATGATAAGAAGGAACAGGAATCCGCGAGCGGTAACGAAAATTTTGAAGATGATTCATGTATTCCCTCTCAAAGCCGAAAGAATGCTGGATTAAATGTCAGGAGTGCCAATCCTGGTGTCACTCTGAATGCGCTGGGGTCGATAAAAAATGTAAGATATTAATTGTTTTAATGTGTGTTACTTTTTTATTTGTTGTATTATTGTTATTTTTGAATAAAATGCGAAAATTACACTAAAACATATTTTTTTCTATTATACTGTGCAGCCATGCGATAAGGAATGTGCCTATAATGGCACACTTGACATTTCTAATATTTCAATTTTTTTAATATGAAAATCCACATTCCGTTTGATCTTTATATGTCCAGCTTAATTGGTACATTCAACTGAACTAGAAAAAAATTGTTACAAATATGATCATGTATTTTAATAAAAAATCGAGAGGTGAAGTTAGGTATGCCATCATAGGCTCATACTTCCCCTAATACTTTATAATAATGTTAACTTTTGTTTTATGTAAACTACTGTTTATAATCCCTTTTTGAAATAAAAATAATTGGTTTTGAACATTAAGTAAATTCAATTTACTCAGTTGTGAAAAGAAATGACATATCTGGTTTTTCCTGTACCCTTCATATCGTTTTCACCAAATTTATCAAAAGCAGTTGTTAGATATCTGTTACAGGAAGTGTCATTATAGTCTACTTATTATAATAAATCGTAATGGTCTTGCTTTAAAATAATTAAATCTCTTGGTTTAAAATAAATATTTATATTAAGAGCACTATATCAAGCCCAAGCTTACTGTTACTCCTACATTATTATGTTGACGCAATACACCTGAGGGAGAAACGGAGGGGTTGCCGTTACGTTATTTTATTTTTCAAAACAAACAACATTTGTGGCTGCATATTATGTGCATTTTTTATAAGCTTACTTTTTTCCGGCTTGTACGTCCAACATCGAAGCAGATGACGTCTAACAATGAGTCATCGTCATCACGGACAGGTAGGGCTTCATGAACAAAAGGGTCAGTAACACCTGCCACCGGCGAGTGTTTACCGAACGGGTAAATATATCGGGAGTAAATCGATCATTTTTTATTTCATATTAGTTGGGAGGTTGTTCAACCTAAACTGGTATATGGAGGATGATTGAAAGAGTTTAATGTTGTTTAAATTATGCATAACCGGTGTTTAATATCATTATGAAATCATTTGCTGTAAAAAAAATGTAACAGCTGGTTGAGTCTTTTAAAATCCGAAATTTTAATGACAGAGGAATGAACTGAGGATATACACATTAGAAGAAATATTTATGTGTATTTTTTTATTTATCTTCAGGTTTAAAAGGATTGTCACTATTACAATAAGTTTATCGGTAGAAATGGACGTTCTGATAGTGCTGTTATAAATATGTGGAAGGAGACACTAAACCAATGTAACACAGAAATTTGTAAAAAATGTGTGAGACATACATATGAAATTATTACAGATCCGAACTGGATTACAAAATAATATGGTAACATCAAGAAGAAAAGAAGACAAAAGAAGTGTGTGGCGTATGAAAAGATGAGGCGAAGTTTGCTTTTGAAACAGCAACAAACCCTAAAGCCTGGGGGAAGAAAAAAAAGAAGGAACAAGAAGAAAATGCTTAGAAATATTTTAAACAAGCACCTAATGAAATCAATGAAGAGAATTGGCACAACTTTATAAAAAAATGAATAAGGATGAATGAATAAAAGAGCATTTAATGTAGGGCTTAGGACAGGTTTATGGACAAAGTCCATAATCCTTAATAATCCTTCCAAGCTGTGAGAAAGTCAAATTTGCCCCAACCAGTTCAGGTTCACAAATGCTGTTAGTACTAGAGAGGCTTTGTTCTCAGTACAAGTCTTATTACAAAGATACAGAGACGTTAACTGAGAAGAATACGTATGTCTGGTTGATTACGAGAAAGCGTTTGATCGAGTACAGCACGCTAAGATGATGCAAATAACAAAAGAAGCAAGAATTAACAACCAAGATCTGAAAACTAATTAAAAATTTTTACTGGAATAAGACAGCAAATCTCAGAGTTGAAGGTGTACACACTGACTATGTGAAAATCATGCGTGAAGTGAGGCAAGGCTGTATTTTGTCTCATCTAATCTTTAATCTGTACTCTGAATGAATATAAAGCTTATGAAAGAAGAGAAAGCTTATGATAATTCGCAAGAAAAGAATCTTGCGAAAAAAGAGAAAAAAGGTCAACTCTAATTCAAACAATCCCCTGTAGAAAGATTGACGCATTAAAACTACCTCGGCACCATAATAAATGAACAATGGACATACAAGCAGGAGATTAGAACACGCATTGCAAAAGCTAGATCATCCACATTCAATCGAATGGGGGCCTTCTTCAAGAGTCACAAGCTCTTTCTTGATTTATACAAAAGTAAGAATGCTGCGATGGTACGTCGTCTCTGCTCTTTTTTATGGTGTTGAATCGTGGACTGTGAACAAAGATATGTGCAGAAAACTGAAAGCATTTGACATGTGGCTATATCGGAGAATACTTAAGATCCCGTGGACTGACCGAGTCACAAATGAGGAGGTCCTCAGAAGAATGAATAAGGACCGAGAGGTACTTCTTCTTCTTAGAGTGCCGTCTCCCTACGGAGGTTGGCAATCATAATGGTTATTTTTATTTTAGAACTTGCTGCTCTAAACAAATCAATCGATCTGCATTGGTACCAATCACGTAGATTCTTTAACCATGAGTTCTGCCTTCGGCCAACAGATCTTCTTCCTTGAATCTTTCCCTGTATTATCAGTCTCAAAATTTCATATTTTGGTCCCCTCATCACGTGGCCTAGGTATTCCAGTTTTCTGGTTTGTATAGTGGTGATTAGTTCTGTTTCTTTACCAACCCTCTCCAGTACTTCTTTATTTGTAATTCTATCAGTCCATGATATTTTCAATACTCTGCGGTATAACCAGAGTTCGAAGGCCTCGATTCTTTTTAAATTACATTTTTTTAATGTCCAAGTCTCAGCTCCATATAATAATATTGAAAATATATAACAGCGAATGGTACGTAGTCTGATCTCCAAATTTAGACTTTTGCACGTTAGGAGTGGCTTCATTCGTATAAATGCTGATCTGGCAATCTCTATTCGTCTGTTTATTTCTACAGTATGATCATTGGTTTCATTGATCAAAGTTCCCAAATACTGATATTTTTCTACTTGTTCTATCACGTTACCATTTATTGTCAATAGGTGATGTATATTTTGTGGCCTTTTTGTAATCAGCATGTACTTCGTTTTTTTAGCGTTTATAGTAATTCCCATCTCAGCACTATTTATACTCAAGCTTTCGATAAGATGTTGTAGATCCTCTATACTCGTTGCTATGATCACAGTGTCGTCTGCATATCTTAAATTATTAATTAATTTTCCGTTAACGGTGACTCCCGCTTCGATATTATTGAGCGTGTTTTGGAGTGTTGCCCATCAATTTGAACTATGGTACTTTGGTTCCAATATAATTCCAAATTATGATTTTACTGTCAATGCGCTTGTTCATAAGTATTGATATTAGTTTTTCATGTCTTACTTTATCGAAAGCTTTTTCGTAGTCAACGAAGCACAAGTGTAGATCAACATTTACATCCCGACATCGCTGAATTAATATGTTGATGGCAAATAGTCCTTCTCGAGTACCCATTCCATTTCGGAACCCGAACTGCGTCTCGCTAATATCCTCCTCTAGCCTTTCGTATATTCTCTTATGTATTATTTTTAGCAGAACTTTTAAAGTATGACTCATGAGGCTCAGTGTTCGATAATCAGAGCACTCTTTTGCTGCTTGTTTTTTAGGGATGGTTATAAATGCTGACTTTAGCCACTCTGTGGTATTATTCCCGTATCGTACACCGTGTTGAATAAATCTGCCAATACTTCCAAGTTATCCTCTTCCACTAGTTTTAACAGTTCTACTGGTATTTTATCTAATCCAGCTGCCTTATTGTCTTTAGAGTTTTTGATAGCATATTTGATTTCATCTATCGTGATCTTCTGTATCTCTAAAGGATTTAATTCTTGTATTTTCTGCATTTCACCTCTTTCATCTTGGAAAAGTTCTCTAACGTACTCCTCCCATCGCCTTAACTTCTCTGGTAAATCTACTAGTAGTACTCCTTTTTTGTCTTTTATGTGTCCTTGCTGTCTATTTCGACCCATTCCAGTCACTTCTCTAATTTTTTTGTGCATATTTCTCATATCATATTTTGTTTCTAGTTCTTCTATCTCTTTACATTGCTTCATCAAATAGATTTCCTTAGCTGTTTTGATTTTTTCCTTAATTATTCGTTGTATTTCTTTATACTTCTGTAGATCTTTTCCTTTATATTTCCTTCTTTCTTCCATCAGTAATAGTATTTCTTCTGTCATCCAGTGTTTTTTAGCCTCTGACTTATGTTCTATTAAACTTTCTTGAGCTGGTTTCAGTAATGTGTTTTTTATATTACACCACTTTTTATTTACATCCATAATTTGTTTGTTGTCAGTTAGTGTTTTTTGCATATTAACATTCACATTATTTTTTAATTCGTTTTTTATTTCTTCGTTTTGTAGCATTCTTACGTTAATTTTTGGTTGTTGTTTTCTGAGTTCAATTCTTTTTAATTTTATTTTCACGTCAGCCACTAGCGGATTGTGGTCTGAGTTAACATCTGCTCCAGGATAAGTTTTAACTGAGGTTATAGAGTTTTTATATCTGCTATTTACGAGTATAAAGTCTATCTGGTTTCTGACAATGTGGTTTTCTGTATGTGAAGGAGACGTCCATGTATATAGTCTTCTTTTAGGAAGCTGAAACCAAGTATTGACAATTACCATATTCTTTTCTTGGCAGAATTCTATGAGCCTTTCTCCTCTCTCGTTTCTAGTTCCTAGTCCGAACTGTCCAACTATATTTTCAACTGTACCTACTCCAATTTTTGCATTAAAATCTCCTAAAATGTAAGTAATATCTCTAGATTTTGTTAACTTGATTGTATTGTGCAATTCTAAATAAAAGTTTTCAATCTCATCTTCGGTCTTATCAGCAGTGGGAGCGTAAACTTGGATCATATTAATATTACAGTTCCGTGCTTGAATGGAGAGGTACTGACTACCATCAAGTCTCGAAAGTTACAATTCTTCGGACATATTATCAGAAATGAATCCAGATATGCTCTCCTTCAAGCCACCCTGCAAGGAAAAATATTTGGAAAGCGAGGTCCAGGAAGAAGAAGAACATCTTGGTTAAAGAACCTCAGAATCTGGTTCAATATAACATATGTGCAGCTTTTCCGCGCTACTGCCGATAAGATAAAAATTGACATGATGAAGGCCAACATTCGTAACGGATAGGCACATCAAGAAGACGAAGAATAATTAATAAATAAGATTAAAAATATCGTGCTAATATTCCACAATATTTCTCTCGACACCAAACGACACCAAAAGTAAAGATGAATTTTCTATTATAGCACCATCTATTATTAAATAATATATCTATCATACTATCCGTTTTGTTTTAATTTCATATACGATATTAATCAATTTATCATCCAAAATATGTACAAATTTAATTTATCTCTGCCAATATATTATATAAATAATAAATAAAGTGACACCAGTGTATGACTACTTCATTCTGCGGTCGGGAAATAACAAAAACGTTATTTCGTCACACAAGACGGTTTCTATAGCAACCATAAATGATTGTCACCCGAGGGCATTAACGTGTAAATAAATATTATGCGATTATATTTAATAACGTAATGGCTAAAGCAGAAAATAGCACTAAGAACCTCAAGGATTTTACGTTTGATACAATATACAGAGCGCGGCAAAAATAAGGAATATTCTTAACAACAGACAAATAGACCACTTCTCAAAAAATTCTTCGGACAGGTCGATTCTTAGCGTGATCGGGACGCGTGTATCAGCCTTGTGGTATATTTTCAATATATAAAAATTAACGATAACATCACCAGATGATTGTAAAAAAGCTCTCTCTGAAATTTGTGCCGGATGGGATGATGCAACATTCGAGTAACGGTGTTAATTCGAGTTCATATTATGGTATTGTGGTTTTACACCCTCTATCTTGTCATTTCCCCATTACTGAAGATCGTCATTTCTTCCAATATTTTTAACAATTTTTCTCCGTTGGTCTCTATCTTCAGCTGCTTAGAGAACTTCTTCCAGTTGAATTCTTAATTTGGTCGGACCATCTAAATAGTGATCGTCCTCTTGATCTTCTCCCCGGAACATTTCCAGTAACAATTAATCTCTTCAAACTATCGTCACCTATGTGAACAACGTGGCCAAAAAATTGCAGAATACGTTGCAGACATATAGTGGACAGTCTTTTTTTAATCTCAAAATGGTTTGGAATGGACACGTTTGTCCTATGAGCTGTTCGAGGTATGCGCAGCATTCTTCTCTAGCACCACATCTCAAAGGCATCAATTTTTTGGCGCTCGTGTCTGCGAAGTCTCTGCCTCATATAGAAATATTAAGAATACAAGGGCATTCACCAGTCTCATCTTGAAATTTTGAAAGATAGATCTGTCTGTATTTACAGTTACCATCGTTAGTTATACTAGACCCGAGATAGACAATACTGTCCACTATCTGGTATTCCTGTAACATGTTAATCAGTTTAATAGTGTAAAATCTGTCGACCACCATTATTTTTGTTTTAGCTTTATTGCTTTCGTAATCAACTCTTCGAAGGAGATTAAACATTTGTTTGCAAATCTTCAATTGGAAATTTTTGTACCAGCCACTGTTACTCCACCGGCCCATCCATCTAAAGCCATCCTCTTTACATGTTCACCATAAATGTTGAATAAGTCAGGTGACAACACGCATCCTTGTCTAACACCTCTCTCGGTCTTGAATTGGTTTGAGAACTTCTGATCTAGTTGTACTGTTGGTATATTGGACTGGTACAGTTTTTTTAACAAGTGTCACCAGGTGCATTGGTGTGCCCATTTCTAATAAAATGGACCACAGATTTATCCAGCTTACACAATCAAATGCCTTTTGGTAGTCAACGAAGCATATAATTATAGGTACTTAAAATTCTCTAGACTTTTCAATGAGATTTCTCAGGTTTAGGATTTGTTTAAATGTACCTTTACCATTTACACACCACGCTTGTTCCTGCTGTATTTGGTCATGTAGATAGGTTTTTAATCTGTTTTAGATTATACACAAAAGCAACAAGCTTTTACAAGCATGTGTTATTAATGACGTTTTGTGGTAGTTTTCACATCTGGTAGTAGTTCCTTTTTTGTGTAACGTTTTGTGTAAACCTTTGTTACCTAGTAACTGTAGTATTTCACCGGGTATTAAATCAATTCCTGGGGATTTATTTCTCTTAAGCGATTGAATTACATCTTTGATTCCAGCGAGTAAGACAGTAGGTTCTCTAGGGTAGTCGGAGGGCCACTAGTTTTACAATATGAATGATCTATACACATTCAATATACTTATACAATTTGGACTTATACAAGTGGAAGAAATAGAACAGAAGAATTTTTCTTCTCTTTTGTTAAAGATGCTTCTGTCAACCTCTCGATCTCACATGTAATAAGGTTATATTCACATTTATACTACATGCAACGACTATAGAATCCAAAGCCGGAACAAAATCTTCAAAAAACACAATCAGCGGGGAGATGAAATCCATTCTCAAGTGTATGTTAGTCATCTGTGCATATCATGATAAGTTGCCTTCATATTCCAGTCTGTTATGTCTTGTCAGTGTTGTTGAAGCAAAAATGAGTAAATACAACTCAAGTTTTCCACATCTTTCTTACAGTTCATAGAAGAGCTACAGTTATGGATGTAGCACATTTCTATGAAATTTCTTTTGAATGGTTGTCCACTTTTTTAGTACTTCCACATTGTCATAGTTGGCAATGTGTCCAGTATTCTTAATATGTTGGCTGAAAGCTGTACTTTAGGTTTCCTCACAACATCACTCTTGTGCAAAGCTATTCTTTTTGATAGTTTCTGGCTGGTTTGACCGACATACACTTCCGAACAGGAACCACATGGAATAGAATACACTACATTGAAGTTATCCAGTTTTTTAACTCTTTCTGTCAGGTGAGTGAAGTATGTCTCTAATCTTTTGTACACTGAATTTGCTATCACTATGTTAAACTCTCTGAAAAAATTGTGATCTGTGGTTATAGACCCATGACGTAAGGCAATCTCACATAGAAAGAATTTATTGAAGTGAAAGAAACAACTGAAGAATATATTTATTATAACTTGAAAAATAAACTAAACAATACAATCCGATATTAGTAATTGTACTATGTCGGATACTATGGATGTAAAGTTACCGTTTGCTAAAATTTCAGGCGTACCATAATAATCACTGAACTACCCTTCAAGTATTTTTGGTCACTCATTGTACTTGTTATTTCTTTAAAAGGCTGTAAAATTTGAGAAAGTTGGGAACAAATAATCCAGTCTATTATTTATGACTATTATTTAGATTTGGTCTAAGTCTAAGTCTGTATTAACTAATACCAATGTGGAACGGATTGCCTCTTCTAACTCGGTAATTCTTTTTAACATGTAATAGGTGAAGTTCTACCTAGTTTCCACGTCTTGAATTGGCCGTTTGGGAACTTTGTTATGTTGTAATTGATACTTTAAAAGCCTTTCTGAAGATAAGGTACTTTTTTTGAAATGTGTTTTTTGCCGAATTGTCGAAAAAAAGACTTTTTATTTTATCTATTTGTACACGACAGCATTTAAGTGCGTCCTCCACCAATAAATTTAACGTATGAGCAAAACAATTTAAATGTTTTCATTCCAAAACATCTTTAATAGCTTTGACCATATTTGAGGCATTATCAGTTACTGCAAAATTTACTTTTCGTTTTAGACCCCACTGATTAATAATTTCACTAATTTCAAAAGCGATGTTTTCTGAATTATGGTTTCCAGAAAAATGGCAGCAGCCTAATAAAACCGTTTTAAATTCTAAATTTTCGGTTAAATATTGTCCTGTTAATGCGATGTAACTCTCAGTTACTCCAGATGTCCAGAGGTCAGTAGTAATACAGATATTTTCTACTTCTTTAACAACTTGTGATCTAATAATTTGCTTAGTTTTGATATAACATTCCTGAAGTAATGAACCTGACGTAATGAACAAGTTTTTCTTGTTGGCGGTTTATATCCAGGAATCCACCCTGCAAACTTTTTAAAAGCTCGTTCTTCAACTATGGAAAACGGATGAAACGAGTCTTTGCATAGGTTTAGTAAATTCATATCTATTTGTTGCTATAGTTCCATCCATCCATCACCTTTTGACGCTTGGGTGGCGGTGGCAGTATGTCAGTATCTGTAGTAGAAGTAGTCGAAACGGACAGAAATGCGTCAGGAGAAGTTTCAATCATTGCAATATTCAGAAAGTGGACCATAAAAGTTGCATCTTCTACAAATGTGCATTTTTTGAAAATAAAATTATTATTCTTATACTAGGTCAATAATTTTGACTAAGAAAAAGAATTCTTAATTGAATATTTACAATAAATAAATCCTTTGACGAACTATCAATACAGATTTGAAATCGAAAATGCAGATCAATCGTAAATCGAAACTCATTCAATAATCAGAATACCTAGTTATAAAAAACAAAAGAAAGAGTTAAGAAGCTGGTTAATTCTATAAAAAAAAAGAAAAAAAAGATTGTACTAGTGAAAATCAACCAGTACAAGAAAAAGAAACTGATAAAGATGACTTAAGTCCGTGGTGTATTTTTGATGAATTAATTAGACATGACTCATCTAAACATACACCTGTATCGAGAGATATAAAAGAAGTCGACATGTATTTGTCTGATGATATAACACCCACAAAAAATTTCGAACGGAGATTGGAACTGTCCATTACAGAGGTGGAAAAACCATCGCCATGTATATCCTAACTTAACCACTATATTCATAAAATATTGTAGTATTGTAACAAAATCTGTTCCTTGTAAACACATGTTCAAAATCTGGTTTAATTTTAAATAAAAGAAGAACACGGTTAACAAGAAAAGTGGAAAAACTTATGTTTTTAAATGTCAATGTAGACGATTCGCGATTTAATAATGTGTAATGTAAATGTAAGTACTATTTGTATTGTTTAATTTATTTTTCAAGTTATAATAAATATATCCTTCGTTAGTTTCTTTCACTTCAATACTTATACACATAAACGATAATAGCCAATATGTTTGTTTGTGTACTCGCTTATTTGAAACTACTGGTAAACAATCAACTAGTTACAGTTTACGAAAAACGGTTCCGATAAAAATGTCAACGACCCACCTCTAGTTTTTAGGT